GTGATTTTTTTTTTTTTTTTTTTCAAATATATATATATATATATATATAAAATGTGTGTTTATAGAAATGGAAAAGTAATGGTAATATTTGGTATTTGTCTTCTTATAAGGAAACATTTGCTATTCATTGACTGAACAGCCAGTACTGCTTCTGGTTTAAATTTGTAAAATGTTTCTCTTCAGGAAAATAGGTTTCTCAAGTCCAGTAGCTGTTATTGCTTTTTGCAGTATTGATGGGTATATTTCCTTCCTAACCTTTTGTTTGAAGTAGTGTGGAACATCTTGATAATGCCATTATTTTCTTTTCAAGTTAAATCCATTTTAGTTGTTGCCGCTGTTAGTAGTCCTCAAGCGATGTGGTTTCTCTTGTTTGGTATGGTTCTTTGTTTATGATTCTGTAGCACCAGTCCACAAGGTTCAATGAAGGATGGTCTTTGCTATGACCCTCAGGCTTCAAGAGAAATCCTAAATTAACCCACTAACTCCTACCATTCAAATTTTTGAGACAATGGAGATAGATAGGTTGTAGAACATCAACATTTTGATTGTCATTATTTTCTCTTTGAGTTACATGTGCTATCCATTTTAGTTGTTACTAATCTTCAGGTGATGTGGTTTCTGTTATTTGCCATTCCACAATGTACAAAGAAGAATGGTCTTTACTAAAATCCACAGGCTTCACTCAAAAAAAGCTATTTTTAGCCTTTGATCTTAGGAAGTGATTGTAAACAGCTGACATTTCAGATATTTCTGAATGGGTTTGGCACTGAGCATGACATCCATATAAATGTCTCAATCTGATGAGTTTTTTTTTTTTTTTTCACTATGTACAAGAGCCACTCAAGGTACAGAGATACAGTTTATTTAAGAACATGACTTGAGTTTCCAGGTTAATATTTTGGTTTTGTAGTGTTGAGCACAGCCTATTCTATGTTCAATTTCTTTTTCTCCTGTACTTAATTTGTTATAACTGATCCATACACAGAGGTACCTGAAGTGTTTAGTATTTACTAATTCCACATCCTGAATTTTTATGATGGATTCAATGGAGGAGCCATCACTGCTTTCATTCTAATTCCAGATCATAGTTTCCATTTTGGAAAGGTTTATCTTGAGTCCTGTTTCTTGGAAGACTTGGTAAAGCATCTGTCTATATTTCTGAGATGAGGTATTATGTACAGTATTTACATTAGTCGGACTATTGTCCTCATCTTTGTCGCCATATTTGTCACAACGTTTCGGCCGTTGTACGCCAAAGACACATGGCACAGTAGATAAAGGCGTTGGTTAGATCCAGTGACAGACCCAAAGAGTGTGAGTTCAATACCCAGTTAAGGCAGTGGAGAACTTTCAGAGGGAAAATTAGCAGGAGATAATTGATAACTGACATCCATCAAACATGGCACGTGGAACTAGAACAGTCTACCCCAGTGAGCGAAATAAAGGGTTCAGTTCAAAATTCCAACCGCCTGAAGAAGGCCGGGGCGTACAACGGCTGAAACGTTGTGATAAATATGGCGACAAAGATGAAGACAATAGTCCGAATAATGTAAATATTGGTAGAGCATGTTTTTTTTTGTTTTTTGTTTTTTGTTCAAGATTATTCTTATCCTCACTATGAATCCCTAGTTTGTTAGCATAGCACCCCCACATCATCAGTACATTTGCCTCAGGAGGGAATACTTCTATTAGTCAATTTGTTTGAGATGTGGTAGTGAATGTGTAAATGATCAATGCCCATCTCTTCATATCATCAAGAGACAATGAACAAGAAGTTAAACAACAATTAGAGATGGAAAGGTGTAAAATTTGTGATCTATTAGGAAGAGATAAAGCAGAAAAAAGGTTGCAGTAGAAAATCCTTTATTCCATTTATGAATATCAAACTAACCAATGTTTATATTACATTTAGATAAAAGTCTGAATGGGGAACAAGGGAGAAAAGGCAAAAATACAAGCTAAGGAAAAAAGAAAAGCAGAGGCATGAAGTAATAGATAATCAGTTATAAACACCCATGGAATTTCCAAGCTGATTAACACAAATTCAAAATATTTGTGTTCTGGTTAAATATTTCTGACACACTGTAAACATATTTTTCATTTTAATTCAGTTTTTTTGTTTTTATCCTTTCACCTCCAAGCAAGGTAATAAAGCCACTAAGGCACAAGGGGTTACTGAGTGGTAGAGAATATGGGGAGGATCACTATTAAGGAAAGTTAACAATAAAATAACTGGAATTAAGAAGACAGAAAATGACAATTGATATTGCATTTAAATTTTTGAAGATCAAACTTGACTGAAAGCAAGAACCCAGAAGAGTTCCACAAACGAGAAGTGTGAGAGAAGAAAGTGTCAGCATAGAACTTCCGGTTACATTTAGCTATTTCAGCTGTAAAAAGATGAAACCTTGCCACCAATCTAGTACTGTGCTACAATTCATAAAGTCTAGGTGCCGTGGAGGAAAGTTCATCAGAACAACTACTATAAAAGTATTTATATAAAAAGACAGGGAAGCTACATTACGGCCGTGGGAAAGTGACTGAAGCAGAGATGCCAGGTCAAGATGAATACCATTGCAGATTCTTTTTATTTCATCAAGAATTTCTGAATATATTGCAGAAGTACCAAACCGAATGTGGCAGCAATATTCAAAGCATAGGCAAATGGTAGACTTATAAATTTATAAGATAGATTCTGGCAATAAAAATTGTCTAGGACAACATGGTGAACCAACTTTCTTAGCAGCATTATCATTGATGCATTGTTTTCTTTTAAGACATTTCTCACCTATACGCTATAAGGTATGCACTGAAAACAACACCATTTGGAAATATGTTCTAATGTTAACATACCTTCTGTAATTTTGAGATGGTTTATTATTGTAATGGTTGAAGTATTTTGATCTTTATTCTTTTCTTTGATGCCACAATCTATTGTTTAGCCTTCTTCTGGTTTATAACCCACATGCAAAAAGGTAGATCTTTTTTGTTTTTTTCAGAAAGTAGAACAAATCAGTAAAACAAATGCTGGTAAATCTACTGATTGGACCAACCCATTACGCTAAATTCTAAAGCTACAGAAGCAACTCCATATGGGTTTGCCTTCAAATCTTGACTTGCTAAACAAAGAACTCCACACTGGTTTGATTTATACATTTTCTCTGCAGGGATAATATACAATGCTTCTTTTCATTTTCTTATCTTTTAAGTGATGTTCTCTATCTATACTTTAGAACTTGTATCAAAGTTGATAGGTGTGGTCACTTTCTCCCCCTCAACATGAAATAAATTTTAAACTTAATTCCATTCTCTTCTTGTGAGAAGTTATAAAAAATCCTTAGCTATTTTTAAGATTTACAACTTTTGTTTTGTAGTAATCTAGAATGCATGCTTTTTTTTTGGGGGGGGGATCTCTTTAGAACATATATTTTTGATGATATCTTTACAAAACATACTTTTGTCGTGGATCTCTTTAGAATCTACATTAGTGTCCAAAATTAAGGAACAAAAATTAAAAGTTTGATATCTCAAAAAATATAAGTCCAATTTTTCTGAAATTTTCACTAAATGTAGACAAATGGCAGTTCAGTTGTGCTCTAAATCTGTAAGTTATTTGAAATGATACAGAGAGAGCTATGGTTCATTTAACTCTTTACTCAAATATCCAAAATTAAGGAACAAATCAGGGAAATATGTGAGAATCTGAAATTCTGATAAGTAAAATTAAGATAAAGATTGTTTTATTATCACAATGTCATTTTCCAGCATGGTGAACCAATGAAAAAGTTGACATGTCTCTAAAAGTTGATGTTGTTAAACAGCAAAAGGAAAATTACACAATTGACCAGCATGCAAAACCGATGAAGTATTCCAAAAACATTGTGAGCTGAGTTTGGAACTGTACAAAAACACTGGTCATTTAACCATTCCAAACAAGAGTGTGGGTAGACCAAGGAAAACAGCAACCAGAGAAGACAGGATCATTCAACATCTAACACTGAAGGACCATTTTTGAACTGCAGCAAGTATTTCACAAGAAATTTAAAATGACGTTAATGTGTCTCAACACTTGCAAGAAATAGAGCTTTATGCTAAGCCACCACGAAAACAGTCAAGTTTGGTGGAGGCAGCATGTTGGTTTTCATCAGGTTTTCAAGTTTGGGTATGTCACCTCTTGTACGCCTACATAATAGAGTTAATGCTGCTATGAACAAGAATTTGTTAGAAGAACAAGTTGTTGTACAGATATTACAAAATCCTGGGTTTAAAAATCCTGTGTTCATGCAGGATAATGGTCCCTGTCATAAGGCAAAGTGGGTTATTGCTGATCTGAACAACCAAGAAATAAACATTATGGATTGACCAGCTCAAAGTCTTGACATGACTCCCATAGAAAACTTATGGAAGATTTTAGGATAAAATGTTATGACTAGGAATCCATCAAATGTTGAAAATTGGGAAAAATTACAGGAGGAATGGGCTAAAATTACAGTTGATGAATATCAAAAATTAGTGAAATCCTGTGGATGCTTATGTGCACCAGTGATTCAAAACAAGGGTCTTAGCAGTAAATATTGATAAGATTTTTTTGCATTTTGTTGTCCAGTTATTTTTTATCAAAAACATTGTTTTGTTCTTTAATTTTGGACACTTGATGTTTGAGTAAAAAATTAAATGAATCATATCTCTCTCTCTCTCATTCCAAATAACAAAATTTAAAGCACAACTGAACTGCCATTTGTCTACATTTAATGAAAATTTCAGAAAAATTGAACTCTTTTGAGATATCAAACTTAATTTTTCTTCCCTAAATTTGGACACTAATGTATACTTTTTTTTTTTTTTAGGATCTCTTTAAAGCATTACTTTTTTTTCTTGAGGACCTCTTTAGAACTTATGCTGTTTTTGATGATCTTTTAGAATATGTTTACAACAAAGATTTAATTTTTCTCATGTTAAACATTACTATTTGTGATATACATATATATTTATCTGTTCAGATTCTACAGAAAGTGCAATAGAAGCCACTGATTTCTTTGAAGAGGAAGAAGAGAAAGATTCAAGTAAAGATGGTAAGACGTTTTCTTCATACAGTCCTTAGGATCGTCATTAGTCCTCTTAATTCCTCTTGCATGATGCTTTCTGTTTTTCAGTCTTTTGCTAACAAAACTGCATGCAGCAATCCAGAATTCATTAAGTCTTCATTTGCTTTGCAGTAAATGTCTTTTCTTTTATCATATTTTCTTTTTAATTTCCTGTGTATGTAAAATGCAACATAAACATGTTTGTTTATTTATCTTCACACATCTTAAACGTAACTCCATTTTTCACCAACTAATACCTTTCTTCATTCTGATCATAAAATTATGCTTTTATTTCTTTTGAAGCCTTTGACTCACTAAAAATTGGTTCCACAGCTTTTTTTTTTTTTTTCCTATTGTGTAAATCTTCTCTCAAAGACTCTTCCTCTCTTTTACTCAGACCTTGAACTTCCCTCGGCCTATTCTGAAGAGCTCTCCCTCTCTGATGACAATCCTCTGCAAGATGGCTCTCCTACAAAAATCTTGACTTCCCATGATCCTCTAGATTTGGAAAAAGATCTACGGGAGCGGCTAAAGCTGGAATCTCTCTCTCCAACTGATAGTGATACTAATACTTTGTCCACTGACCACTTGGATATAGAAGAAGCACCTTCTGAGGCTACAGCTAGTATTGCCACTAGCACATCAAAAGGTTTTCTTCCTTCAACACTTTTTATTGTGCTGCCTGCATCTTCATCTTCTATATCTTCTTGTGTCAAATTTATATTGATTTGAGAGAAATATTTAGTAATAATACTGTTTGTAAATTCTGAATTATGGATAATCCTTTTTTAATTTATGCTATGAGCAGTTTTTAAACATTTAAGCAAATTATCAAAAATTTGCTGAAACTAAATCAAAAGAAAACATTCTGAACATTGTTTAAGAAGTTTGAATATTTCTTCATGAATTGATATACAATTTGCTTCTTGTTTAAAATTTTAAATCATTAAGTTTATTGGATTGTTATAAAAGTGGTTATTTTTTTTTCATTAACTAAGGCAGGATCAGCTCAGTTGATGTTTTCTAATAATGATTTTTAAATATACAGCAGTAAATTTAATTTTCAGGATAATTAATAAAGATTTTGTTTTTATTTTAATTTTTCTATTTGAATATGATTCTTTAATAATTATTTAATAAGTTTTAAAAAATACTTGGTAAAGGACATCATTTAGAGGAAGAAAAACTTTTTAAAAAGTACTAAAAATTATTTAAAATGTTTATTTAAAGAAATGTTTATTTAGAAAAGACTTTTGTGTAGTAGCTTTCAAACCAATGTATAATGCCTGGTTCAACTGATTTGTGATGTATTTTTGTTTTTCTTAGTTTTTTGTAAGTGGGGGAGGTCTTTTAGTTGCGCAAACATGGCATTGAAACGATGACTTCCAGATTTTCCTTCTTTTTCATAGGAAGTGAAATTCCTCTCAGATTAAAAGAAAAACTTGCAGGCATTGATTTGTTAAAGGAGGGCCAATTTGATGTCCCAACTTAAAGATAGAATTGAATTTTCAGCAGCCGTAATAAAGCATTAATTTTCATCAGTCTCACATACACACACATGCATACACCCTTATATAATTTCATGAATACAAAGGCCAATAGATAAAATACTGTTTAAAATAAATGGAGCATCTACTCAAATAAGGGTACCCACTAAAAACAATGTTTGAAGTAATAAAAATATATATAATGACAAAAGGAAAACTTTATTCATATAGTCCTTTTTAACATATAAAGTATATCTGAAGCTTTTACACACACACATATATATATATATATATATATATAACTTTAAACATTATTTTTTAGTGTATACTCATATTTGAGTAGATCCTCCATTTACTTATTAAACAGTGTATTGTTGTCTACCAGCCTGAATATTTGAGAAATCTTATTAAAGAAAAACATGAACTCTCCAGCAGGATTTGAACCTGCATCCCCTTTGACAGAAGGAACCGATGTACTTTAACTGAAGAACTTTTGCCAATCAAGCAAGGCTGAATAGTGCCTTTAAAAAAAAAATGTGTGTGTGTATGGCAGAGTATGTCTCTCCAGTACTGTTTTCGTTAGCCACATGAAGTGATATTGGTAGACCTTTAACAAATTGCAATCAGTACTACACTGGAAACGGCTTTACATGCAGGGTGTGTCAGAAAAACCTGCAGAAATTGCTCAGGTTTCACCCATCTAAAACTCTATGAGCAAGTTGAAGAGACTTTACAAAACAAGCCAGACCCTGTACAAAACAACTTTGTTTGCCACATCTGCAATAAGCATTGCAAGTCACCTTCTGACTTCAAAAGCTATTGTCATTCTCACATGAACTAAAAACATTGGTCAGCAATGGCCATGCTCATTTAACAAGTAGATAGCTGTCATATATCTGTGTGTATGTGTGACTGATGGAAATTTCTGTCATTTGCAGTTGAGCCATGGAGTTTCAATGACTGGGAAATCCTGCAGTAGTTAATTGGTTAAGTATATATAATGTTGTATTAGAACTTTGAAACTAACACCTGATGTTCCTATTTGCAGAGAGCATGTCCTTTAGTGGCATCCACCAACGCTCTGTATTGGATATCATTCGGCAGGATAGTAAGGCAGAATTCAGGAATGTGCCTCGTCTCAACCAGGTAATCATATTATCATTCTGCTTGTTTCTTCGTTAGTTAACATATGTGTTATACCCTGCCATTACCTCAGAAAAATAATGGACCATTCCTTTACAAAGAAAGACAGAAGAAAAAGATATATCAGCGATGCTGTCTGGTTTTATTGAGATAAAGAAAGCCTACATAATAAAAAAGAAAACATAAGGTGATAATGTTCTCATGCGTTTAACATCTGCTTCGGTGAAAGCAAAAACCTTGTCAATTTCAAATCTTTTCATTTGTATTGTCCTACTTCTTTAAATAACCATCAGTGTTCATATTTATGATTTTTATTGCAATATTTCATTAAAATTGTTTTGCTCAAATATTTAAAAATGCAATATAGGGGAATTTCTACAAGAATTTTTAGTCCTGGTGCTTATTCAATTATTAACTATATATAACAGGAGTGTAGAGGTTCGCCTATTGCCTAGTTTACACTTCTCCCATCTTTTGACAGAGTGGAAATTTATCCCTTGTTTCCTGTTTAGGATTAGATTTCTGGTTCCTTATCTTACTCTTCTCGATCTGTTTCACTTCCACTCTTGCATCTTAGTGGCATTGTTGCCTTGCTTGGCGTGAAAAGATTTAAAAAGAAAAAAAAATAAAATGATGTAACAAAACTGAGAAATTTAAACATGTAATTCTAATTGTTTTAATTTTACTGGCTTGACTTTTTTTCTTTTTTTTTTTTTTTTTTTTTTTTTTTTTTTTTTACAAGATTACAATTTTTGACAAAATATTTTCTAATAATTTTTAATTTAATAAAATTTATATAATTTCAATTTACATAATTTAAATAAATTCAAATGATTCAATAAAGAAGTCTAATAAAATCTGGCTAATCCTTCACATAAGCAGCATAAAATAATCTGTCAAAGTTCTGTTTCACAAAGAATTCATCACCCACAAGGCTGCAGAGACACTACTGAATCCTATCAAGCAGCACCAACCCAAATATGACAGTAGTACTTCATTCAGTAATCCATTACATAAACATTGTAAGATAATCTGCTAAAGTTCTACTTCGTGTAAACAGCATGTAAATAAGCCCAATTGGATTTATTTTATTGCACTATTGGCCATGGTGATATTTACAATGAAAAAAAAAACTTTTGTCGTGTCTATTTCTACCACAATTGGTATGCTGTCTTCCTTTATACTGCAGATCATTGATGGATATTCTTCAATTTCCATTTCACATGAATCACAACAGTGAATACACCAAGCAGCAAACATTTTACTAGTGTTGTTCATGCTGGATGTTATTCTGCACTGTGTTTCAACTCCAGCAATAGACAAAACGGATCAGTTGTACAAGACCAGTCCAGTGTTTTCAGCATTTATTTGCTGTATAGTTTATTACCTGTTGTGATAATGTTTAATTGTAATAAAGGTATATATGTTGGTTTTACTGATTTTATGCCATTCAGGGAATAGCAGTTTATTTTGCACCACTTAAGTGAAGGATAATCAAAATTTGTTCATATATAAAATTTGAAAGAATAAAATGTTTATGTTGTTTTTCTCCAGGAACAATTTATCCAGCTTTGGAAAACCCTGTACGACATGTTTTCAAATCACCCAGACGAACAACATCTTTATCATTCCATTGCCAATGTAGGAACGCTGCTACTCGAGATTGGAGAAGTCGGCAAAAAGTTCTACTTAAAAGGAATCGACACTGATGACGGGTTGTCAGAGTCGGATGAAACACCAAGTGAAAACAGTTCTGGAGTAGACAACAACAACAAAGTCAACATGTCAACCTCGGTTGCAACATCAGACTCTGTATCGACCTTTAACTCTGAACTAACTGCAGATGTCGGAAAAGATGAAGAGAAATCTATCGATAGCGCTGTCATGAATGATAACGCTGTCTCCGTGGACGGCAGCAGTGGGGGTAGTAATTGTGGGGAGGACAAACCAGACAATACTTCAGAAAGGCCTCGACATATGTCCGAAACAAGTGACTCGTCAAGCAAACCTGATACTGACTGGTTGATCACTTTTGAACAATTCTTAGCATCTATGCTCACTGAACCTCCTGTCGTGAAATATTTTGAACAAATGGTGAACGTGAGTCCTCTGGTCCAAACTCTGCGTAACCGACGATTAGCAAGACACACCAGCATAGCACCTTCTCAGACACAAAAATAAAAAATAAAAAAACAAAAAATAATCTACTTTCTTTCTGCAACTTATCCATATGCTATGAATCATCATTTTTGTTTATCTGCAATTAAAAAGAAAATCATATTTTTATGGAGGATATGGAGACTAGTATACAACTTATTATGACTGTATTTCATAAAGAAGAAAAAATAACCAATACTTGTATGAAAGCCAATATATGATTCCCTGTAAAGATGCTATGGTTCATGCCTGCTTCCTTTTTAATAACCTAAAGATTTAACAGTTATAAACAGAAAAAGAATTTCTTTATAATTATAGTTTTATAGATTTAGGCAAAGAGTGTGCTATTACAAAAGAAATAGTGGAGGGTTATATCCTAATACATATCTTTTCCATTCTATAATTTTTTTCTTCATTCTTGTAAATGAAAATTATTCAAATCGGTGAATGGCATCAGATAAATCTTTGGCTGTTCCCAATATTAGTCTGTTTAAAATACTTAAGCTTTCATATATATATATATATATATATTTTATGGGTTTTATTTTTTAATCTGACAGGGTTTTATTACTTCAAACATTATTTTTAGTGGATGCCCATATTTGAGTAGATGCTCCATTTATTTTAAACTATGCAGATATGCCTTTTCAAGAAAAACTGAACATCTAACTGTGCTTTAAAGGCAAATAGAATCTTCCTTGATTGTGAAGCCCTTCATAGCTGAACTGTCAAAGCACACTGAATTGCAAATGGAGACATATGTCCAAATCTTGCCAGAGGGCTCTTTTTTTTTCTTTTTTTTTTTTTTTAAGTTTTCTCAAGTGTCATTGGTAGACAAAATATAATACTGTTTACTATAATGTAGCATCTACTTGAATATGGGTATCCACTAAAAATAACATTTGAATTAATAAAATACATATATAAAGACAAAAGGAAAACTTTTCTATATTAACACATTTTGTTGCTTGAGGAACTTCATCAAGGTAAATAGAAAAGTGTTTCTTTCCTCTTTTCTTGTATTGTTTTTTACAGATATATTTTATTTGTCTAAGTTTTTATAGTAATAAGAAATAATGTTGAATTAAAAAATCCATTTAAAAATTACTGTGTTTATATTTTGCGGATGAAGCTCCCAGATATTGATTCGTAGAAGCCATAATGAGAGATGGCTGTTCCTTAAATATATAACTGAGCTTTGTTTTATCTAGATGGTTTCCTGTGGCCAAATGGGTAACTGCACACTTAGGCTTTAAGAGTGGTTTCCTTGGTGGGATACAGGTTCAGTACTTGTTCGGAGGCACATTTTTCTTTAGTAGGACTTATCAATCTAGGCTATAAATTTCACCATTTAAGAAAAAAAAAATTTTTTTTTTTTTCTTTTTTATAAATCAGGGATATCAACTCAAACATGTACTCACTAAAAAAAAAAAATAACATTTATAGTAATAAGAAAAATATGATTTGGGATCAATAAAATACAATAGAATGATAACATAATGAGCAAATCAGAAACATTTTTCAATCTAACGTGTTTCACTTTTATTCATATAAAATAAAAGTGAAATCCATTAAATTGATAAACATTTCCGATTTATTCTTTATCTTATATATATATCCCAGAAATACTTCCCACATAATGGTAAGATATTATCTAGATGAAGACACTGTTGCCACTTGCCTAAGCTCACTAACACCATACAGGTAACAAAATGTGGGAGGTATTACTGCCACACTGTGTGTGTATATATATATATATATATATATATATATATATATATATATATATATATGAGGTTTCAAGTCCTTTGGACTATATGTTTCATCAAAAGACTTGTTCTGCTTAAACCAGTGACTATTTCAACTGAATTGTTCAGTTGGATTAATTTATGCCTTGTGCAAAATAAAACTTGATACAAATGGGATTTTAAACCCTTAACTTCAAATGATCGAACAGTAATGATGGAAATTCTGTTACACTCAAGAATTCTTATCATTTGACATTTCTCCTTTTGTCTCCATTTCTTTTGCCTTGAAACTTTAGAATCCTATTTGCCAATATTAAAAACTTCTATTTTATCTCAAACTGCTTGTTAAAATGTTAAAGGATTTCCATAAATAGACTGACAATTGTATAATTGTCATCGCAAATTGAAAATGTCACACCCTGTACGTCACACAACTGACCAATAAACAATGCTTATGATGTGTTCTTAGAGAAACGTTTTTTCTATTACACTTTTTATGATTGTGATGCCTTTTCTTTTTGATTTCTATCCTTCAAAGACTTTCTCAGAATTATTTCTTTGATTTACTGATTTTATTTCTCATAAAAGAAGTGGCAATTATGCTGTTAATCTTTTATGCACTAACATTTTTTTATCAGTATAAACAAAATTAATGACAAAATGTCTTCTTGCTTAATCCTTGATTTCAAGTTGAATTTATTTTTCAAAATGTTTCTAAAATTTTTCTCCATGTTTTTGAAAATTAGAAAATAAATTAAGAATAGTAAACTATTGTTGACTAGTATTTACTTACATTTTTATTAGGTGAAATATTGACACTAATTATCAATTTTTGACTTTATTTACTTTTCATCTTTTTCTATTATTTACCATAAAGTCAAAAATTGATAATAGTTGATAATGCTTCATCTAATAAAAAATGAAGATGACTAGTTGAAAATTAATGATAATGGCTGACAATGTTCATTTAATAAAAAAAATAAAATAGTGCTATGAATATTTTCCAAATACAATAAACATAATTGTGTGTCATCAGAATTGTTTTGTTTATTGTTAAATTTTTAATGTGTAACCCGCCCATCCCATAAAAGAAAACAATTAAAACATTGTGGAATTTCAGTTTCAAAATTTACAAAATAACATTTTTTCTAAGATTTATTCTAGAGTTTACTCTAGAATAAATATTAGCAAAAATGTTGTTTTTTTTTTAATTTGAAACTGGAATTCTACAATGTTTTAATTGTCTTTTGTTTTGTTTTATGCGGTGGGTGGATTACACATTAAAAAATTATTTCTCTCTCTTTAAACTTTGAGACTTTAGTAATCACTTTGCTTAAACATATTTGAATGTTTTCAAAAAGATTTGGTTAAGACCTATTCACTTGTACTTTCTATCACACTACTGCAGACATTGAGATATGCAGACTTTCTTCAAATTATAAAATTTAGAGAAGTAATATTTTATGGCTCCTTTTCCTATATGAAAATTTAAAAAAATGTAACGTGCACAAATTACAAATGCATCTTATTCAAAAATCAATCCACTACTCATTTTTAATTAAGACAACCCCTGTTCATTAACAATTATTGTTCACGTTGCATGATCTGTCCCAACTTGATAATTTTATTGTTGTGGACACAGGAAGCAATACTTGATATCAATAAGTAAATATGCCTCGTTTTACCATAACAATGGAATATTTTATTAAGAACCTAAAGCAGCATTTCCCAACCTTTTCTCAACCAGTGCCACCCCCTTTGGGCATAAACTTTTTGTCAATGCCCCCACTGTCAAATTAAATTTTGAATATTATGCTGAATTCATCTTTTATAGCAAGATAACACTTAGGTATTAGTGCAAAAATAATGTTAATACTGTTTTCATTTCTATTGGAAATGCCAATGATTAAAATCCTAAAAAAAACTTTTATTTGATAGTTTATCTCAATATTTTTAATGCGATGGTTGACTTTGGTGCTTACTGGCTAAGGCTCTTATTCTATGTTCCATGCTTCTTGGAAGTAATCGTAAATCGCCTTGTTTTGTAATTTGCAGGTGGTTTCTTTGTTTAGTAAGAAACTCTGCCTTGAAACCACATTCAGCCATATAGGAAGTTGAAAAAGCATTGAAGAAAAGCTTGATAGCTTCCCTTTTGTAGCCAATATTGAATAATTTTTGAAAATCTGAAAAATATGGATACATGCTTACCGCCACCTGAGTATGTTCACCATCCCACAAATGAAATAAAAAAAACTCCTAGTGCCCACTTGCAACATAACAGAGCCCACAAGGGGGCATTATCGCCCACTTTGGGAAACATCGACATAAAGGTTGCCAATATGTCGTCCCCACACCACCACACACTTTTTTGGGGTATCTTTTACTTTTTAATGATTTTAAAAGGCAGAATTAGATAATGACAGTAGTTAATTGTAGCAATAAAAAATAATTGTAGCAATAAAAATTTTCAATTACTCATGCAGAAAATATATAACCAATTGCAAAATTATTTTAATATTGCCGTAACTTTACTTTTTGATGAGATGATGAAACTAATTTTATTCAAAACTGCTACAAATGTGTCAAAAGTAGCGTCAGTCTTTTATGATTTTTTTTTCTTCACCTCATATACATGGGGTGGTGAAAAGTTCTCAGCCATCCCCACTTCTCTAAAATCAATATTTCAATGACCCAACATCAAAATATTGATTTTTGGAAAGTGGTTAGAGCCAATAAATTTTCATTACCCCATCCTTCATATTTTTGTCCGGTAATAATTTTTTTGCAGCACTTCATTTTATTTTTTGTTAATAAAACATTTAAACTTGAAAAAAGAAAATAGTTGTAAAATAATGAATTTATGGTTGGCATATATATATATATATATATATATATATATATCCCAGAAATAAATATATATTTTTCATTAGAACAGACATGCTACAATAATAGGGTAAAGAATTTTTTTTTTCCACTCATTATTTCAGGTCCTCTTACAAAGAATCACTCCCAAGAGGAATGCTGTGATGTATGGACTGACACTGGGTTTAAATTTATGGAAGTTGGTGGAATTGAGGATTTTAATAAAAAAGAAAAAAATTAAATAGAAATAATTTTATTTAGTCATAAAAAATGAATTTTTCACAATTGATGAGGAACCTGCTCCACAAAAATTATTTCCAATTTATTTTAATAAGTTGATAAATACTGTGAGATGAGTAAATTGGATAATAACAAGTTGTCTTGGGGCTGCTTCTTAAATTTATGCCCATGCTT